TGTGCGGTTTTAACATTATATCAAAGTTATGCAAGGAAGAAATATCAGGATATTTTTTTTTAAATCTTAGACTAGAAAAGCTGAAATTAAAGAAATTTAGAAAAGTATCCTCAAGACAGATACAAATATGTTTAAAGCATCTGCCTAGGGTTTGGGCAATGCAATTGAAATAAAATGCCGGGAAAGCTTTATTATTTAATTCTTTAATCAGCTATTAGCAAAGTGGCCTTTGGATCTCTTTCTCAAATTCTGTTTACTTAAATGAATTCAATTATTTTTTTTAAAAGATGAAATTCTATAAAATATATCAAAAAACAAAACAAAAAAAAAAAAAAAACAAAAACAAAAAGAAAATATGAAACATTAAAATTTTGTGCACCATACACAGACTTTGTACATGTACTTTAATCATAGGGCATAAGACGATGGTGATAAGTCCAACATTACTGCAACTACGTACCAAGATATCCAGGATTAGAAACAGAAAACACGGAGATGTCTAAAACAATACAATCCTAAAGAGACCAGAAAACAGTGTTAAACAAGATATCACTGGTGTTTTATTGTGATGATAGTTTTCACATTTCAAAGCAAAAGTTGTTCTTTTACTCAAGAAAAAATCAAGAGGAATTACGTACTTAACAGTTTAATTATGAAAGGATGGCTAAAACGAGTCAATGAAAGTTCTTATCAGAATTTGGACCTTCACTCTTGCAAACCACGCCATAGATGTGAAAAGGGACATCAATGTTAGGGATAAAAATGTATTATATCAACTCTTGCGATTGTGATTGTGTTGGACCTGGGTGTATAATTTTAAATTCTATTTGGAATGACTACATACTCGTGGTCTACAGAGGATGATTTTATTATCTATCTTTAAAGGTTGTGCTGTGTTTATTATTTTTATTGGTGTTGATTCTCATGGTTGCCACTTTTACTTGTGCAGCATCCATTCCTAATGCTTTCTATATGTGTATTTGAGAGTACTACAGTTAATGTATTTTTATTGCTTCAGTAAAAAATTCATAGAGGGAGTAAATGAATTGAAATATTTAGCCCAATAACATATTTTGGACTTCGATATTAGTAGTTTGCTTAAGTGTCATGCATGGGTTTGCACCCCATTGCAGAAGGTGTAATACAGTAGGTGCAGACACGGAAAATCGCCAAAATCACAGGGGGGTTAAAGAAACAAACTAAGTATTTTTTTTGGTTTAAAAATTAGGGAAAGATTTGTTTTTTATTCTTTTTATTAACGTGCAAATAAAAAAGTATATAGCAGGTTATTTTATATAATGTTTATATAACATTTTGCCTTAATTAGAGGATTCATATTTGTTTTGAAAATGTATACACATTTTTGAAATTGTATTTCATAATGATATTAATCAAATGATAATAGTTGCACTTATTTTTGAATTGCGAATGTATCAACAAAAAGTAAAGAGAGTGTAAGATGTATATTTTCGACTTTTTCTGGTGATTCCACCAACTTTTTGTTCATATATATGGAAAGGAACTTAGTCATTGTAATTGGAAATCTACAAATGTTTCCTTGATTAATGTTTTGGTGGACCCACCAAACTCCCCACTTTAAAAAATTAACTGCACAGGCAATGCTGATAATATATCATTCAAGTATTCTCTTTCTTTTTCGTGGGTCCACCAAGTATTTGTAAGTGAAATTAAGAAAGCCTAGGGATTTGTTTTTCTACAGGTTGGTGAGTCCACCAAATGACTTTCTATATTTAGAGACAAATTAGTTGATCTTTGAGTTACATGGAGATTTTCGAATTTTCTGGTGGACCCACCAGGTTTTTGTTCTTGTGTACAAAAATGTATTAAGAAAGTGTTTCTTAGTTATTTTACAAGAAAATTATGATTGCCTTTTGATTTTAATGTCTTTGGTGGATCCACCAAACTTTCCACTGTTAGTAAATACAAGGTAATCTTGACAGTGTATCATTTAAGTATTCTTTTGGATTTCTATTTGTATTTTTGGTGGATCCACCAAGTATTTGTGAGAAAAATTTATGAATGTCTTGTTAGTTTAATTTTTGCATTTTGGTGAGTGCACCGACTCAGTATAAAGGACGTTTTTTAATTTTGTTTTACAACTCAGTTTCTCTCAATGGGTTGCTTCAGTATTTTAAAACTGGTGGATTCACCAACGTCATTTTTAAAATGTTTTCGGGAATTTCACCACATTTAATGTTTTTGGTGGAACCACCAAAATCCCCAGTACTGATAAATACACTTGCTATATCTATTTTATCTAATCTTAGGCAATCGTCTTCGTATTTTTGGTGGATCCACCAAGTAGTTGAATGGTTAGTTCACTAATTCTTAGAATTAACTAGAGAATTAAGTATTGTAAATTCAATCTTGTTTTCTTGGTGGAACCACCAACATGACCAAGATCAATATTTATTTGAAGATACTGATAATTCAAATTGGTGCATTCACCAATTTTTGACTGTTAATATAGAAAACTGATTAATGATTTGTATGTTTTAGCATAAAAAATTGGTGTTCTCACCAATTTTTAATGTATTCAAACATGACAATGAATTAAAAAAAATGTTGATTACTGAAAATGCATTGTCTTGATTTTTTCATTTTGAAGTCAAAAAAGAGGACACGAATAGAAAATCCTCTTTCTTAATGGAAACAGTTAAATGCTTTTACAATTTTATAGATTCTATAACTTATAATTCTAGCACTGTATATTGGTAATTCCAGTACGAAATAACCTCCGCCTCAGATACAATGAAGTGCATTGAAATCGTATTATATTTATTTTTGAACATTGGAAAGTTTGGGTGTTTCTTACTGAACACCAATTGTTACATAATGACACGCCCGTTTCTTTAGAAACAGGAAAAAAAATGTTCGTTTTAATAATTCGGAACACCGTAATTTTTGTCACCAGAAACATGAGATACACTGAAATGGGGATATCTCATTATTAGAAAAATAATTGATTCATTTATTATATATTGTTTAACGTCCCTCTCGAGAATTTTTCACTCATATGGCCAAAGAGACGCAACCAGTTTGGAGAGCTGCAAAGAGGGCGTTGTAGAAAGTCGCGATTATTCCCTATGTATCGAAAAGGGCATTTAGATACCCGTACTACAGTGTACATGTATTTCTAAATGTAAAATCATGTAGATACAGCAACGTACGTAGAGGACTATGTCTAGTATATTGTTTACATCGGGTATTTCCTGCTTTATTAAGCAAAAGCACTTAACGGTTTAGGTTTATATCATGAATAATTTTTCCTCACAAAGAAAATTGTGAATGACAACTTTTCAGTGATCCTTAACCTTTTTTTTTTTAATTTCTTAATTTTTTAAATGTATATCATTTTTGCCATTTCGCACGGAAAAAGTCAGAACAATAAAAACCACAATGGCTAGTGGACTTTGTACACGTCAGCATTTAAAAAGAAATACTGCAGAAATCGTGCGAAAATATTTTCCATGAAAAAAAATATCACATAATCGAAACGTTAATGCTACATCCAAGAGATTACATTGTTGTAAATTCAAATTCTGGCTACTGGATTACATAACAAAAATGACTCAAAATGAATAAACTTAAATATAATTCTTTAAACAAATCTTACTTTCTAAGACAAAACTAAGTAAAGCATAATGTCTTTAGTTTTAATTCATGGTAAATCAAGGAATAAAAACAATTTAGACCTGCATGTTTGAAATATAGTCAATCATTAACTTCTTAACATTCTCTCTTTTGAGCGCACGCACAATCTCTTATCAAAGGGTATTTTGCTGCATTTCATGCATTAAAAATACATCGAAAAAAGGAAAAAAGTATTGCCTAGTAGTTTACAAGCATATCCACGAGATCATTTCGGGCACGATGGTATTGTGCTATTCAATGTTCAAATATGTATATGAACATTTTGCATTTCGTATGGAGGATATTTTTTATTCAATTTTTGTCTTTTTGTGCATATATCAAAATAATTCTGTTTCAAGGAGGCAATATTTCATAACAATAGGGATTCCCTATTTAAAAAAAAAAATAAAAATTTGATATATTTTGCTGTGAGACTAATTTACAATTCATTTAATGCCAAATTGGAAGTCAATATGCAGCTTCCAAATATTTTTCCTCATTGCGCTTTATATACTGTTGCATTTTAAAAATATATAATACCAATTTCTGAAACATAAAATTCTTCTTTTAATGTGCTACACAGTTAGGGAAAATAACAAAAGAACTGCAAGAACCTCTTTTATCTCATACTTAGCACTCAGGGCCATTTAGCAGGACGGGGTCTTTTTCGTGTAAGCCCCTACTGCGACACGGGACCTCGTTTTTTTACTGTCTAATCCGACGGACCGGTCTCCACGTCCAATTGTGGGATTCGAACTCGAGACGTAAATATCAAGTCCTTATTTTGCGACTCTATAGCAGACGCTCTTGACTTATTACTACGCCACGTGCGACTAAAGTTGTTAGAGTGACAGAGTAAGAAAGTCTCCACCTATGCAAAACACGTATATTGTAACAATTTGTACACAAGTTATCGTATCTATAGGACTTACCTTAACCTAGAATCTGTTGAACACGTGCTTACTCGGTGTTTATGTAGACTGTTAATTGATTGTCTATCATAGTTTTGGAATACTTGCTCTACATAATTTCAAATGAACCGATTTTTTTCCCTTCTTAAGAAACTATATAAATCACGCACAGGTGCAAGATATTTAATGTATCATTGCTATTTCCGACAGAAAATATATTGTGCTTTTGAGACAATCCGGGAAAAGATATTCCGGTACAAGGCTTGTTTTAGTCATGTTCCGCTAGGTGGCGTTATTTTAGCTATGAGACTATAAATACAGGTGAAGCGGCAAATTAATTCAATTGCGAAGTTGATGCTGAAGGAGTAGGACAAGCGGACCATTTGTTACGAGAGGTAATTTTAGTTAATGATTATAAATAAATATTTAAAGCTTTCAGACGTGACTGAACAAGTCTTTCCTGGCTTTAGATATTGTTTTGTCATTAAAAGCGACAGTGGGAGCCATCAAGAGCTGTACTACAGGAGACAGCAAGAGCCGGACTGTATGAACTGCGCTGTAAGAGCCAGTATCAAAGAAAAGAGACTGTAGGAGCCGCAAGAGCCGAGCTGTAAGAGCCGATCTCTTATGAGCCAGCATCACTGATTTTGTGTATATAATTGATTAAAGACAAGTAGTCTAATTTATTTGTATATATTGCTTAATCATATATTTGTATATATTGAACCTGCCAGGTCCTCAGAAAGTTAACTGAGGGGATTCAGCCGCCTCTGTTATTTGTTATCATATTTTTAGGTTTAACGCTACACTTTTAAATTGTAGTACTGACAGGCTACAGGCTTATAAAGGGAAGAAATTTTTCAAAAACGTGAAGTAGATGTACATTACCAACCTTCCTCTTTTATTGACGTTCATGTGAAACCTGGTATACATGTACAATGTATATGTATATTATACTTCAGATATTCTTGCGGGGGGGGGGGGGACTGGGTTGGGGATGTGGTAAAAATTCACAGGTAGTTAGTTTAAATTAATATATGTTCCTTATCGATTTGTAAACACTTTGCTTTATTTTTTATACATATCAAAATTTTTGTACATATATAAAAATCAATACCCAAGTTCCGATGTAAAAAAAATCAGCTCCTCCCCACACGAGTAAGCAGAGTATTTAAAACAAAAGACTGTATTTAGAAAATAAAAATGTTACGTATTGATTAAAGCAAAAATCTGTAATGTTTTGATTAAAGCAAACAGTCTTATATCTTTAATTGTATTTGAACAATACCTTATTCGTTAGCTTTCTCTTTTATTGGACAAATTATACACCGGGTTCGTTGCCACAATGCTCTCGGATACAGAAATCTATAGGAAAGACATACAATCATGTCCTACATGTACATATACATGTCTTTTAGTCTTTTGATAAAAAAAATATTTGTTTTCTAGCCTCTCATTGGTGGATTTCAAAAACGGAACGCAAATTATACTATATAATCTGGTTTTGTATGGAGACCCCCCCCCCCTTGACAACCAGCTGAATCATCTGTACCCATGCAATCTTCTCATTGCCAGTCCTCGGAATTCATGGAAACTTCAAGATTCAATAAAATTAATGTACATTTAACTTCAAACAGTAGCTCTATATTACTTCTAACAAACAAACATCATGGCTGCTAAGTCTAAATAGCAGTTATATTCTCCTCTCGCTTCCCATCACTTCCGTTACCAAGCTTGTATTATTGAGTGGCAAATTTAACTCATAAAAAGCAACACAATTTTACACCCCCAGTTGTTTAATTACCTTTAAATTAAATTATAAGGAATGACTCTAATGTTTGGCCAAATTGTTCGATATAAAACCTGTTTTGGGTCAGATTACGCCTTTTTATAATCCGCTTCGCGGATTTATGCGCAGCACTGTTAAGGCCTACATGTACTATGAGAAATCAGTGGAAAATAGCCGTACAAAAAAGGGGATTTTTTTAATTGATTTTATTTTAATTAAGCTGTTTATTATCACGGAACTTTAAGGCTTATGGAAATATCATAGTAGAACCCACTCTGTACTGTATGAAGTTTAGTCCCATCGACGGACAGTCACGTGATGAATGCACAGTTCTTGTACTGAATGTTGAACAAATTTCAATATCCCAAGGGCATACCCTAGTTGAAATTAAAAATTCAAGCTATTATTTCTATCTGCATACTTTGTAGTTTCTGAAAAGTGCTGCTGCTTTGAATAAAATTCGCGTTTTAATAGTTAAATTTTCAGGTAAATAAGCCAATGTCGAAATATGTTTGACTTTTACCAAATATTTTGTGTACTTATAAAATCATGCCCTTGATTTAAAGAAAGCAGCAGTACTTTTCAAGTTAGGAAAAATATCCTTTATCTTTATTCAAAAAATGGTTCAGATCTATGCAGTGTATGCCCTTGCGAAAGTACGATTTTATGAAGCATCTCGATGTAAAATATATGTAACCTGTACATAAAAACACGACATAATTAATAAAATACATTCTCTTGGTAGATATTTAATAATCGCACTAAACAAAGGATATACATTGGTATTGATCGAAAATTTAAAACCTGTAAATAATGTGCCATTTAATAATAAACACATTTTCCATTGTTAAAAAATTCCTCAATCTGCCTCTCAGAGCACATGAAATTCGTCATTTTTACCAATATGACGTAAGGTTTACAAGTTCTTCGCAATCAATGCTTTGTTTAAAACCAGCTTCATGGGATTTAACGAGCAAATTTTTATGCATTGATAAGTTACATTGTTGTTTATTATGCTAATATAGATAAAAGTTGCAAATTATTTCATTTTAAGGTATTATGAGAAATACATAAGTCATATTTTTGTGTGACGGCACAGTAAACTTTTAGGTCCCGCCCCATTTTTCAATCCTTAACAATGCTACGTAGTGTTCTCAATGATTACAAGTGTAACCATTATTTCAACAACCAATCATACAAAAACATTTTATGGCCGTGCAGCCATATTCCCTTGTTTTTTTCTTTATAACATGTTCGATATTCGATGCTGAATAATGTCCTAGAAGCTCCCGTTAATGTTGAGATCGGTGAATGACGAAACCAATTGCACATTTCCCTTATAATTGGTTGTATCACTTTTTTTTTCCTTTATATCGTTTAAAGACATATGAAACAAAGAAAAATGCACTTCATTTTTCACTTCAAATGCCATTTTTGTGCTAGGTTGAATAAAAACTAAGAAATACGTCGTGGCACATGACCCAAGTTGTTTCTTTCAAAATTGTGGACAACAGTTTGATTGTATCATCTGTCCTTATATGAAATTGTGATTGAACAATTCAGTGATGACATTTTATGAAATAATGGATTGCTTGTTGTCACTTTCATAAAAAATTGCCAGTAGCTTAGATTCGCCGATTGGAAATACCGCCATGCTCAAGTTTATGCTATTTCATGGCGAGTTATAGAAAATTGAAGTAGATTTTTAATTTAATGCACGATACTTTATTAATATTCGAAATGAAATCTAAATATTGTTTGGGACATCGTCTTGTATAAAGTGGGTTGTTAGTGGAGAAAGTAAGTGTACGCGTTACGGTGTTTATTTTCAAAATTAATTAATTTACAAGTATAGATAGGCGTGTCATTATATGACAATCATCTTCAAAAGATAGCTTAAGAAAAACGTCCCATTTTAAACGTGGATTTTATTTCTTTAATGTGCTTCATTGTATTTTTTTTATTCAGGTCCAGTTGGTATTTGCTCAAACATTTTCCTAGAACCTCAGGAGCTGTTTTGGACTGCTTTGAAACCGCTTTCCACTGCTGAGCAGTTTCAAAATTTTTTTTTTAAATAGGATCTGGATGATAAATTACCCAAATCTGCTTTGAGTCAATTTTCGTTATTGCCAATTGCTTTTTTAGAAAATGAATAAAATTTGGAATAGATTACCGACGGCAAACAGACAAGCAAATAGCTATATAGACAAACAAACGAGTATTAAATATTGTTAATCAAAAAGATCCGTTTGAGATTCACGCCACAAAAGTTTAGACAATAAGGATTATAATTTTCATACTTTGTTAATATATGTGAACCCTGTTATTAAAAACATTATCAAACATTATTCAGCAATTATACATATTTTGGAGTTAGACTAGCTGACATGTACCTGCCCAATACAACGACCTTCATCTTTTCCTTTTCCAAAACTTTTCGGCTTTCTGAAAACCAACTCTTCCTATCCCTGCATTCTTTAAAAATATCTCGAATATCTCGAATATTTTCTGGTGTACCTGTTGAAATGCATGTGGTAATATAATACACATTTGGAAAAAAAACCAATAGTGTGACTGATACAATTATAACAGTTATTCATTTTCAAACTTAAGAATGTTAGGCGGATGGAAAGAACAAGATATGTTTTCCATACAAATTTTGCCCTGTGATTTTCTAAAAAAAAATGAAACTTGTGCAAAAGTTGAAAACTCATGCTTTTTTAATAATTGAAATTCAATGCAGAAAAATCACACAAGTCATTTTTCTCACGTGTGTTTTTAAATGCTAATTATGACGTCATAAACATGTGCATTTTCCAGTGTGTTCTTAAAAAGTTGCAGAAGACACATATTTTCAATGGAATTTTCTTTCAGGTAACGTTGTCCACAGGTATCGCCCACAAAGATCTTGAGATAGTGATTTGTTATTGAATTTTGCACAAAATATCAAAAAATTAACGTGGGCGATGGCTGTGGACACTGTTTTCTAATGGAAAATCACCCTTGAAATGGGCCATTTTGAGACTTTTTTCTGTTGAAAATAGAGAAATGCTTCACATTAATGACGTCATATTTGCAGAATGGTAAACTTTCATGCAATATTCTTTCCTGATTTATCACAGTCATAATTTGGTTATATTAGTTAAATATAATAAATTTTACAAGATCGATCTATAATGAACTATATAGTTCTAGAAAATTAATTTCCTGAGTAGAATTCTAAATAAATATTTAATTAATACACTGCCGCTCTACAATAATACATGTAAACTGTGTCAACAGAATATGAATCTGCTACAGGTACACATGTACATTTACGTGTACACTAAGCTCTCATACATGTCCATGTAAACATTCAATATATAACAGATACATGTACTTAAAACCTTGTATTAATTAACGGAATTGGATGATAAACTCCTTGTTATTTTTTACGATAATAAAAAAAATCTCAAAGGATAATTAAAAAGAACAAAGTACGGTATTAGCAATAATTCGCCGAAAATAATACGATATTTTAATCTTCTTTGTACAATTTTTTGATGTTATGCTTTGAAGTAAGGAAGATGCGAACTAATTTCTACAGGCACAAAAATGACGTAATTTTTAACTATGACGTCACTAATGCGCGCTCAACATGGAATGGTCATGTAAAATCGTTAAATTATATTGAAAAATGAGTAATCTTTGCTGAAATTAGACCCTTTCACATGCAACAACCACTTTTATACTCCGCATATAAGTTCATCATTACATATCGCAGTTACACTATTGAAATAGTGTTGGTTGTCACCTGTGATCAATATGAATTTTGCAAAAGTTAACATACGGAAAAAAGATAATTTACCGACACAATTTTCCTGATATCGATATCAATGACACATAATTGATACAAAATGAGATTTGCTGATTTTAAGTACCATCACTGGATATCGCAAAGAATAGATATCTATGAATATGAATAAAATATTTTGAAAACAAAGAATAAATGGTACCTAATTAAAGATGCCGTTTTACTTATGCTGTTTGTACATCATCTGCACAAGTGTATAGACTATAGTGTACGTTGGTTGTACATGTAGTATTGAACAACAGTACTAAAATATCCTAGACCTCAATTCATTACACAAAAGTAGCAGTAATATTTTTTTTTAATATTTATTAAAAGATTAATTTAAGAAATCCGAAATACCTCAGTATAATTATATTTTCTACGAGTCTTCCTCAATGTACATGTGTATGTGGTCTTACTATAGTCATAGTGCGACCCCTCCAAACAATAATATGACAACCATAAAAAATACAATAAAATGTATATACATATATATAGACATATGTTTGACATTCAGCTCATGCATACATACATGTATATTTATTAAATCTTATATATATTTTGGACACAAAAGTCACCCCCCCCCCTCTTAAATCCGCCAGCCTTGCAGTGGCATAGTATGCATATCAAAAAATTCAAATATTAATAGCTGAAACATTAAGGAAAATTCTTACAAATTAATTCAATACATATACTTTTTTTGTTCTTAAGCAAAGTTATCCTGTTATGGTTGCCTCTAATCATAATCTTCAGATATTTTCTTTTAGATTTTAGTTCTCTCACCATTTAGATCATTTAGATACATGTATCAAAATTTTGCCCCCACTTTTTTCAGACACTGTATAAGCTTTTAACTCAATAATTGTCATTTCACCTATAAACTTCAAAACCTATGAGTGAGGAAGGGAAAAATTAAACAAACGAAATCCTCGAAGAAATGAGTATTTACTCATCGAAGGCACTTGAGTCGGGAATAAATTTTAACCCATAGTATAATAATAAAACGTTATTACATTGGCTCAAAAATTTATTACAGAAACAAGTGCCTGTTTACTAATTTATGAATTAAAATACGGTCAATATTTGTAATCATGTAGGCTTATTGTTTCATAATAGTTTTAAGTAAACTTTTCACTTTACATGAAAGAATAGACTCTTAGAGGCTTCACATGTTGTCTATTTCTATATATGGATTGTATAGTTTTGCTAAAAGTAAAAGAACACATTAAAATACATGTATCTTGACTTTTCCGAGTGCCAATTTCTCCGAGACCTCCGAGCACGGTATACGAACTTCAAGCAGCCTAAAGTTGTAAGTTGTGTAAAAAAAAAATGTACTGCATGAGAGAGGATAAGTTTGAACTTGATTAATTCCCCTTCCAAATCAAACCGCTTGTCAAGATCTTTCAGGGTAAGTTTATTTTATTCTACCCCCGCCCCCTTTCAAAAGCAAAATAAATGCGTACGTCACTGCTATGTCGGCGAAGAGACAGGACATAACTAAATCAACTTGTATTTAAAAATGAGGGATTAAATATGCATAAGATATACCGTTTATGATAACATTTGTGTAATTTAAGGGATTTAATCTAGCTGAAATCATATTTTCCGCTTCGTTCCGCGTTTTAGCAACACCCGGAAAGGGGGATGCTAATTCGGTAAAAAAAAAAAAAAAAGATTTGTACCCTAAATCCAGGTATATCCGTATTGTCCAATAGCATACACAATCACATTCCTTAATTTGTGATCACGAAGTTCATGTACGCTGAAAAAGTATCTGCTTTTTATACTTTCACTATCTTTATCAAATATTAGTTTATGTTTTTATGTATGATAAAATGCCAACACTTCATAGCATTATGCATTTTGTACTGTACGATAGAAAACTGTATGGCGTGAATTGGGACATACAAAGGTAATATTTGTAATATATAGACCACCTAGTGCAAAAGCAGACTTTGTAAACCAACTTGCTCTATCTATAGAAAGTGCTTTGAATGCTGAATTACCAATATTTCTATTGGGTGATTTTAATTTTGATATGTTAGCTGATGGTAACAATGCATTTAAAAACATGTTGCAAAATTTTTCTTTATCAAATGTTGTTACAAAACCAACAAATTTTTCAAGATCAAAAGGTACATGTATTGATCTTATTATTACCAATGCTGTTGAAAAAATAGAAACTGTAAATATCTTAACGCCTTTTTGTAGCACTCATAGTCCAGTTGGTGTTGATCTACATTTTAAAACATTCAAGCAACATTCATATAAAAGATACATAAGAAATTATACAAAAGCTAACTACTCACAACTATGCACAGATTTGTCAAATGTTGATTGGGATAGAGAGGTATTTAATACACACAATATCAATGACACATATGATAACTTTATGAATATATATAACCATTATGTTGACAAAAATATACCTAAAAAAGTAGTGACCATTAGACCATCAGATAAACCATTTATGACAAGTGCTATTAGATGTAAGATGCGACAAAGAAATAGAGTACATTATAAAGCAAAAGCAAATAATAATGAATATCAATGGAGTAGATACCGTCATTTAAGGAATGAAGTAATAAGTATGGTACGTAAATCAAAACAAGTCTATAAAGAAAAAATTACCTCACAAATATTAGATAGATCAATACCACCTGGCAAATGGTGGCGAATTGTAAAGTCTATTACTAAATTTTCTAAAAAACAGACTAAACCCCCACCAATAAAATCCAATGGTAGAATTTATATACACCCAGTTGAAAAAGCTAATATAATTAATAAACACTTTGCAGAAATATCTCATATTGATGTCAGCACAGAATCCCAATTACCCCTCAAGGGCCAGGTCCACCATATTCAATAAACACAATTCATATTACACCCCAAGAAGTGGAGGATCAATTACATAATATCAACCCATCTAAACCTCCAGGTCCAGATGATATTTCTCCACAAATACTGAAAAATATAATTCCATCTATCACTGCACCCCTAGCAAAATTGTTTAATGCATCATTAACCAGCAAACAGCTTCCCCATATATGGAAACTATCAAATATTACACCAGTTTATAAAAATAAAGGTAGTCCCGAAGAACCAGGAAACTACAGACCTATTGCTTTAACTAGTATTCTCTGTAAGATTATGGAAAAAATTATTTTCAAACATCTCCACAACTATATGATGGATCATAATCTTTTATCTAAGAATCAGTCTGGATTCCAACCTGGGGACTCCACTGTAAATCAGCTTCTAGAAATATACAATACTATTATAAGCAATTTAGACCAAGGCAAAGATGTAAGATTTGTTTTCTGTGATATATCAAAAGCATTTGATAAGGTCTGGCATAAGGGGTTATTATTTAAGCTTAAGCAGAATGGTGTTGTCGGAAATATATTGGAATGGATTGAAAACTATCTTACTGATCGTGAACAAAAAGTTTTATTAGAAGGGTACTCCTCAGTTAGAGAAAGTATAAATGCAGGCGTCCCACAAGGTTCGGTATTAGGACCATTTCTCTTTTTGATATATATTAATGACATAACTGAAAATTTAGAAAATCAAATTAGGTTATTTGCAGATGATACTTCTTTGTTTGTAATTGTAGACTCTGATACACAAGCCCCTGCCGTCTCTTTAATAAATGACTTGGAAAAAATTAAACAGTGGTCCA